TTTCTTTAAAATCTGCAGCACGTATAGTATTTCCTCTCCAGAACTTTGAATGATTCGTACATTTTGTAGCATGCTTTGTTTATCTATTTCCCATATCACGCAGTCCATCTTTTGACAGCTTGTAAACCCGCTTACTTGTGATTTGGCAAAAAGTGCCTGTTTCCCCTTTTGTTTCTGGCTTATCCAAATCAGTATTTTTTGTAAAGTACAATATGTTCATTTAAAAATCGACAGCCTCATTTTTCTCAGACAAAAATTTTAAAAAACAAGTTACTAACTTATGAAATTGTTGCTCATACATGTAAAAAACGTTTAATCAATATAATACTAGTGAACCATCATACATTTCCCACGTCCTTCATACAAAGGATCCGGTGGGCATTTCGCTGTGCTGAATAGCTCCATTCTTATGCCAAAAGTTGAGAGCACAGCTGTGCCAGTAAAAAAATTCACTACAATCCGTTCTTTAGTTTCGATGGTAAATTGGTAATGGCATATTTCAAGAAATCAAATTAGTCATCAATTTCCTTGTAAGCAACACTTGAAGTGGAGTTGATGTCTAAAGATGCTTCCTACTCAATTTTTTCGGTTCCTTCACCCTGAGGAAAAATCCAAGTCATGCCAGTGGCCTGCCTATTGCGCATTCTAAATGTCACACAAAGTGCGGTTGTAAGGGTAGTTGGGATGAACAATTAATAAAAAAATATATATTTGCGGAATGGCGTGTGTAAAGAACACAATAAATCATCGGCTGGCAGTTGAGTCAGCTCATTTTCACATTAAATTGAGGCTTTCTAGGAAGTTGTTTTTGTTATGAATCAGCGAACACTGCGACATGCTCATTAACTAGTTTATATTAGTGACGAAATCATTGGAAAGCAACAATAAACCCGTCTACGTGTATTCTTCATGAACATTAATGTTTTTGTCTTTGTGGGATTTCTGGACTGCAACTGAATCTCGGTCAATTTGCAAAAGTCCAACATCATATGCTTTATAATATGGTCCGCCGGCAACAACTCTTTTTTTTTGCATCGCGTAGCTAACATAGATCGTTCACTGGCTTGTAACGCTGCTGCCATGACAGACGCCAAGAGTTCGATTTTTCCAGCGGGACAACCAGTCCCTCTACCACTTGCTCATCATTTCGATAGTAAATTAATACTGGCGCGCGGCAATTAGTCAAAATTGCCATCTTTTGAGCGATCCTCACTATTCACAGTACTGACAGCGAAAGGTTGCTGTTAGCACATGTAACCATTCGAACTCGAGTGTCTCCGCTTTTCAAGGAGAATGAAAAGTGCACAAAGGCTTTGCAGCTATGAAAGATCAGGCCTATGAAACTAACTTTCGAAAACTAATTTTGAAGAATTCCGAATAAAAGCCAAGTTAAACTCAGTATGCGCTACTAAAAGGGGCAAAGATATTCCAATACAATTCTAGAAAAAAAAAAACCTTTAATGCCTCAGAAAACAACGCCTTCGGTTTGGCCGATGTCTTGCATTAACCATATAGAGCCACGCAAGTGACTGCTTGGATCACCGAAAAAACTTGCTGTTCGAAGCGATCCCCAGGCATCTGATACTGCTTGAGATGAGGACATTCCTGCAGCTAGGCTCTTGTGAGCAAAAGCCGAGAGTAAAGATGAAAGCAAAATGCAGAAGGGTGATAGGTCATTCACTAAACGAAGAAGCATGCTTAAAGTATGGCGTCTCCGGGATTTTAAAGATAATTTCATGATGTTCAAAAAAAACTGGTTGAGTAAATGACGTGAAAAATACGCTTCAGCGTAAACGCATTTTCTGTGAGAAATAAACAAAAAAGAGACTGTGCTAGTATTAAAAGTGTACGCGGAAAAGAACGGCACAAAAAGACTAAAATCCAGAAAAAGCCTACTCCAGAAATTGTAACACTGATAAAGCATCAAAGCGGAAAATGCTCTGGGAGTTCCTGCTGCGTATTTTTTTTTCTCATTCTGGATGTTTGAAAATTGAGTGTCAGCGGATGATAAATTTGCAGCGGCTGGTGATGAACAGGCACGCACGATAGAAATGAATATTCGCATTGGTCTTCATAATACAGTATGTTTTCGGTTGGAAAATGACACCAGTGACAGGGATTCGCTGTTTGCCGACGTGCTCACTGTGAGGTACTAGCCTACTGTGCTTTTTCATGTAAATCAGAGGCGCTGCTCTTTTAAGTGCAAAAAGCAGGTGGTGAGTACCAGTTTGTATAAAGCTCTAAAGAGATGGGATCTAGTTCTGTGAGCGCAAATCTCTAGTGTTCTTGGGATGCACTCCAGCATCAAACTCTGTAATTGCAAACCCACTTTCTAACTGAATTTTATGTCTTTAGTTCGTATGCATCGTAAAAAGCATATGTAACTTTTCAAGAAGACTGTTGATAATTTAGCTCTGAATAATCAGCAACCTCGCTAGCTGTTTTAACGCATAACACGTGAAAGCGTTGTCATCCATATCTTTTTTCTGCTCCAAGCGATTTTATGTTTAATATATTAGCGAAGAAAGCATGCGAAAAGTGAATAAGTCTACTTGTCTGATAATTCAAGCATTCCAAATGTCCTCACCTACTCTCGCAAATAAAACAGCTTATCAAAACTGATTGCAGAAGTCAGGATCAAGGATGGTTGCACACCCTCACACTATCACAATTGGAGCACCATCATCCGATTTCGCAACAGTACGAGTTTGCGATCCCGGAAGTCAGGGCTTCCTGTATCTGCGAATGCGATTCCAGTTCGGATGTGTGTTCTGCCAGAACACACTCCTTCGCCTACTGCTCCAACACGAATGCTACTCATGTTAGCCCTTTTCATTTATTATGCGTTTTTTGCAACAATGCAATGCGGAAAACGCATATTGACGAGAGGTTATCTGTGTGTGTGTGAGTGTGTGTCTGTGTGTGCGCTGCGCGTCTGTACCGATTTTTCATCTCGAGACCGGCAAAAGCTACG